AACTGACATACAATTTTTAAAAATCTGTTTTAAAATAGGCTATACTGATATACTTTTCTCAATTGTATTCTTAAATACACCTAAAAATATTTGTAAGACTTCACATGAGAAACTTCAAAAAGTTAATAAGATTTGCTGGAAAACCTACATCTACTATCATACAATACAATAAAATTAGTTTAACTTTTGATCTAATGCCTCATCTATCACTTACATTTTGGGGGTAAAAAGTTTTAGGAAACCAAGGTCATGGCCAAAATAGAAACTACCTTAACCATGAAGGTTAACTAAAAAAAATAAAATAAAATAAAATAAAATAAAAAAAAATACAACAACAAAAAACAAACCAAAAAACTTACAAACAAAAGAATACCAAAGGGATGGTTATAATTCATTTTGAAGTTGCATATGGAGGTAAATAAAATATATAAGATCTTACATATGGTTTTATACTCCTTTAAGGGTTGTGAGAATATGGCATATATTCATAATAGGAGAAAATATAATAAAACTTTTTGAAGAAAGGATTGAAGTTGTTCTCTGTGAGAACACAGTATGAGTAGGTACTTCTCTGAGAGACTATACATAGGTAGCTGTCTACTCACTGACCCATGCATTTCATTTTTCCAGAATTTTCAGAGGAAAGAGATTTTTTATTTTTGCTTTAACTGTCATACACAATAGAAGTTTGTATGATTTTTTAAACACGTGAGGACATTGGGGACACAAATTAAGAATTGTGTTATTAGTTCATCCAACTGTTTTAAACAGAACTCTGAAGCTCTAATCCCTGGGACATGCTTCAAACTACTATTAAACCAGTGTCCCAAAGCCGTAAGCTGATGCTTACGTTTCATTCATTGATTCATTTAGTAAACAAACATTCATTGAGTATCTAGTATTTGCTGAACACTATTCAAGATGCTGGGGATTCAACAAAAATGGATAGGCATTTCTGGCCTCATAGAACTCCTTGAAAATGCTCTTGGCTCATCTCAGGTTGTGGCAGGTGCTGAGAAGGGAGCACACAGGAGGATGTGACTCAGGGCTGGAGGCTGGGGGCCAAACCAGGGTAATTGAGTCTGGGGTTTTAGCTGAGTCCTGAAGGGTGTTTAAATCACCTCTATTCTCTCCAGCCTTGGAGCAGCATGCTTCCTCTGCCGGCTCCTCCCTTGTCCCTGCTCCTTCTACTCCATCTTATCCTGCAAGATGCAATTCACTTGTTTTATCCTTCTGGAAGCCATCTGGGATTTCACAGTCAGATTGCCTTTTTTCTTTCTCCAGGAGGCAGAAAAAAAAAACAAAAGAATTATTGTATTATTTTTTAATCACAGTATTTATCACATAGTATTGTGATTTTGCATCACTGCCAGTCTTAGTAGATAAGCCATCATTTGAACCCTAAGGCAATTTTTATCAAGTAGAATACTTTTATAAATCAATGCCATGTGGGCAGAAATGCCATTGTGTGCCTACCATATGCTAAATACACGATAAAAATATTTTGACTTAATGATGAATGATTAGGTCTTGTGTTTGTTTTGTCTGACTATCTCACCCCTTCCTTTGAGCTGGTACCTAGTTATTCTAACCTTACTAATAAATTGCTTTTAGTCCACATCATATCTGTTTTGGTTGAGTTTGTCAAATCATTCAGCAATCCTTATAATAAAACTGCCCACCCTCTGTTGTGCATTCTGTTTTCAGCAAATGCAACTTTCAAACAATGGAATCATGGCAGTAAAATCTGGCTGTAGACATATGTATAATAGTCAAGAAAATGAGAACCTTCTGGGTTAGATCTTTACCAGGGGTCATTTATAGTAAATGGAGGTCAAGGCACCAGAAAGCATCCCATAAACAAGTAGAGCTCTACAGGCAACACTAGCAGTAAGAAATGTTTGTTTGTTTACTTATTGCCAAACTTAGTTTTTCTCCTTTTCTACTCTCCTTGATCGACTTAGGGTAACATTGCCTTAGACGGGGTGAGGTGAGCCGCATTTATGTACTTCCCACTCTGCTGTGGGATGATCAGTTTCCTGGGCAAAGGGTATAGTCACAGGAACTCCTGAGTGATATTTAACTTCTGTGATGTCAGGATTTGGTTGGCTTCTTCGGTCTCCCACATTCAGTGTTAATCTTTAAATCCTAACACTTTTGTATTTAATATTGTGCCACAAGACTTGCTTCTTCTGTGCTTTGCAGTTGATCCTCACATCTCAGAACTTTGATATATTGTCTTGGAATTAGGAAAGTGTTGATTCTCTTTTTTATTGAATCTCCTTTTTTTTCAATTTTCAAGTTTTGGGCCAACTACTTTTATGTTAGGTAATTTTAGCCTTGAAGGACTTAATATTTAACCAAACTCTTCATTTATAAAATAATGGACAGACCCTTCTCTAAATTCTCTCCATACTTACTATCTTGGCTGAAACTAGGTTGATATTTCTAGAATTTTCTTTTGTAGTTCCACTTTGAAAAACAAATGAACAAAGAAAACAAAACACACGTATATATTCACACACATACCACACATGGGGATTCTTCCTTTGTTTATTATCACATTGTCCATTTTTAGGTTGAAATCTCTCTTTCTGCCAATCAGCTCAGTCTTTGAAAGCCATTTCTGACATCTCCTCTTTTGCAATGCAGAGCAGAGATCTTTGGGCTAATTTCTCTTTAAAGTTGCATTTTGAATGTTTTCAACAAGAGATTGGCTTAGTTGGAATATCTTTCTTTTCCAAGTTATGCTGTTTTATTTTTCATCCTAATGTAGTGTTTTTAAATAGACTATGGATTCAGAATACTTGGGTTCAGTCTCAGCTCACTCACTTAGTGTGTGAACATAGGCAGAAGATGAACTTCCATGGTCCAGTTTTCCAATCTGTAAAATGTGGAAAACAACAGTACCTACCTCATAGGGTTGTTGTGAGGCCTGAATGAGTTAATACAGCTGAAGCTTTCAGATTAGAGCCTGACATAGAACACTAACGTATTACATGTTGACTATGATTAGTCTTACCTAACCATATTCTCAGTACTTCTGCCTTCGCTTGAAGGAGTTGGGTAAAGAAGAGAACTTCTGAATCTACAACTATTTTTTTAAATTTATTTTTATTGTTTTTCTTTCCATTACCATTTATCCCCCTTATACCCCACCTCCCACAATCACCGCTCTGTTGCTCACTAACTCTGCCTTGCTCATCATTACGTCTTTAGTGTCTAACAGACGGCCTGACACAGAGTAGGCACTTTGGGAATGTTTCTTTAATGAATAACTGAATTCTTTCTGACCATGTTCTCTGACTTTGGCTACCACTCTTTTGGGTCTGTCACGCATTGCTTTGGCCTCACAGGGCTGGTCTGGGTTGAAATGTCCTCTTCTTAATTCATGGCTCTTATCACAGGGAGGTCCAACCCTGTGCTTGTGAAACCCACAGACCACACTTAACCCGAATATTCTGTCTGCAGCTCTTTTGTGCCAGATCACCAAAGCCCCTTTCACAGCAGGGATCTTTCCATATGCAGGGTCTGACCTGATGGTCGAGTCCCATTTGGGCAGAGTAATGATCCATCATCAATTTTAAGCCCCCAAAACAGCATTCAGGATGTAACTGTCAAGTCATTTCAGTCATTCTCTCTTGATAAGAAGAGGGGCCTGCATGCTGCCCCTTCTCCCCATTTCTCCTTTTTGTGTTCTGGCCTAAAGAGACCTGCTAGTTGACATTGGCCACGTTTCGTTTGTTTTAATAGATGTTGTCATTTAGCTGCTTCCATTTCATGAGTTTTAATTGTTATCTTTATTGATGTACCCAATAGTCTTTTACTTGTAGGTTAGGACCTACCTCCTGAGACTCCTGGGGTGAGTGATTACCCACCTGGGCCTTGGTTTCCTTTTGTATAAATTTAGAAGAATTTCCCTATTCGATTTCCTCAGTCTATTCCAGAGATTTTATGAGCAAAAACTAAGTAGTTAAATTAGATATTTTCACCTTTTCCTTCCTTTCCTGTTCTCTAGTTAACTCTATGGAAATTTCCTTAGAGTTAATTTCCAGACAAAATTGTAGGAGAATAGAAGATGATGTTAATTTCTTCCTACTTATCTCCTAGGCAATCCTGTGCTCAAATAAGATTTGAAAATTCACCTCAGAGGAGACTGGCAGTTTCCCCTTGCCAGACTCGAGGAAACCAGCCTTCTCCTTCTCTTAACTTAGAAATTAATATTAATTTCTTGGTGCTTTCTCCTGGCAATTGACACCTGAATATTGTACTGTGCAATGTGAATAAACCAGGGTGATTTTTAAAAAAAAGTAAACTTTTTTGTCCTTCTTGCATCCCCTGTGTTACCCACATCTCCTTTGTTCAGCTGTTTCAGTCTTTTCCTTCCTTCCTTCCTTCCTTCCTTCCTTCCTTCCTTCCTTCCTTCCTTCCTTCCTTCCTTCCTTCCTTCCTTCCTTCCTTCTTTCCTTCCTCTCCACCCTTCTCCCCACCCCGCCCCTTCACTTTCTAGATAGCACTTACTTAGCCTTTCCTGCCTCAGGACTTTCGCACATTTTTCCCTCTGTCTGAAGTATTCTCTCTTGTTCATCCTCCTCAACTGCCTCCATTTTTCTTTAGCTTCTCATATAGCTTTAACTTCATCTTTCTTTGGCTCCTTTTCATTTTTCAAATCTTAATTTGTGTCATTCTTCAACATAGCCCTCTCAGACTCATTGAAGGTAGGTCATTCCTGTAAATCCCTATCATAGAGTCTTGTCCATTACAAATGCAGTTTTAATTGTATTTTGTAAACTTTAATTTTTGTTTCTTTTCTTACTTATCATCTGCTTCCAACATGAAACTATAAGTTCTGTGAAGACAGAGGCCATGCATTATTTATTTCCAGTGCATATCCATGCCGAGAACATTATACTTACTCAATAAATGTTTGGTGAGTGAATAAAAGAGTGTTACTAGTACATTTTCGACAACATTATCTGTATTTACTGTTGCTCTCTTAGATTTCCTGTACTTCATCAGCTAGAGAAATGAAATCCATTACCAGGATAAAAAGAACCTTTTATGGAGTAAGTATTTCAAATCCTTGTTTTTGAATATTTTATTTTTTAAATCTGAAAGATTTTTGCTTTTATATCTCTACTTTATCTGCAGATTGGAAACAGAGGAATCTACAAAGCCATCACTGAACTGGATATTCTTCTTTCCTGGATTAAACAATTCCTGGAAAGTATTAAGTAATGCAAGAAATTAAGCACATTGATTTAATTTTTATTTTGAAATACAATGAGAACAACTAGCAATAAATTTATAAATGCATTTCCTTTTAAAATTTTATATATAGTACTGATATCAAATTTAGATTCAGATTAGACTAGAGAAATTTGACAAAATAAAATTTTAGAGTACTTTCATTCTGAATATGTTTTGTTATTCCCAAGCACTTTGAATAAATTTAATTTAAAGGTACATAACTAGAATTAACTCATGTAATGTTTGTTGTGTGAAATATAGACTTCTGGGATATAATATAATGTTACTAAGATGGAAATAAATGCTATACATATGAATACTATCTACTTAAGGATTTGATAATTACTAATCATTCCCAGTGTGAACTTAGCTCCTGAAAGATTTTGAATTTAATTAGATAAACTATTTTTTCTCCTGAATGCCATTTCTATGACAACATGCTAGAATTTCATTGAATACAATGGGTAACAATCAGATAAGATCAAATAAGACACCCAAGTCAACTAACTTCTTGGAATGGTTTACTAGGAACATCTTTGCCAGACAATCTAAGCCACAAAGACCACAAATGATGCCAGAGTTTGACAATGCTCCTTCTGGGTGCCGTACAATTAGGAATGTTGATAGAGGCCAAGTGAAAGTCTAGATGCAGCTCATATGCCACTACAGTAAACTTGTCATACTGTCTAAAAGCCTTACTTGTACTGCTAGGCTGTCAGTTAAATGAATAATGTGGACTGACCACTGTTTCGCATTAAACAGACTCTGCTTCATGGTTATCGGCATACTAGGCATGGGCAGTTTTAGACAGCAATTTGTGTGACAGCTAGGTTGTTTCCACAAAGCATTCATTGTGCCCCTGCTGTTCACAGACAACATTTTGCTTTGCTGTTTTGTGATAAGAACAGGCTGGGCTTCCCCAAGGCCTTTGTGGATTTTGTCTTCTGCACATCTTCTTCTCTTCATTGCTTTCCCATCATCCAGTTCTTTTTTTCAATCATATTGTCATTATCCTATTCACTATGACTCTCTCTCTCTGGTGGTTGATCTCATATTCCAGAATTACCTCTTCATTCCCTCCCCTCCTCCTTCATACCTTCCCCATTAATACCCCATGGTCTCATGCCTTATCTCTATCTGGGGTCTCATTATTAGACAGATCCACATGAAGGAAAAGGTGTAGTGATCCAAGGGAATTGGCAAGGACTCTTTCTTTATCTCACACTGTTGAACTAGGTGTTCCCAGTGCAGGCTCCTGGGCCATCAGTAATGGGGCAGCCTTGCTTTCTGTGGGGCACTTGGTAGAAGGGATCAGAAATCCATCTCCTGGTTTTGTCATGGACCTGAGAGGAGGCAATACACCCAAGGTCTCTCCTTGTCTCACTTTAGGGCACTCGGTGTTTCTAGGAACAGGTACCCCCTCACAGCTTGGCATCTCCTGTCTTGGTTACAAACCATTCATAAGCTCCTCCATTACTTCATGACTCTAGACATCACAGGGATTGAGAAATATTCATTTGCAGGTCAGCAAATTTCAGGTCCTTAGGGATAAAATTTCACCTTTCTCCCCAAGTGTGTTTGGGTGATTGAATTTAATGTTTTTGTTTGATTGTTTCCCAAATTCTTTGGTTTGTCCAGAACAATCAATAGGCTGCTAAACTCAGTCAGAAGCACTATAGGAATTTAAAAATCACTGCCAAGTAAAAATAAATATCCATGTGCTGATGCCTATTCACAAACAAACTTTTCTCAAATTGTAATGAAAAAAAGCATGGTTTTAGTACGTTTGAGTAAAGACTGGTATATTGAAAAGGTAGCTAAGAAGACAAAAGCTGATGTCCTTGTGCACAGAGAGGAAAGTGTGTTAAGTGAGGTCACTGTGAGCTCAGGGTAAAGTCTTCCTTCTGATTTGCAGGTCCCACTCTGGACTTTAGAGAACCAGAGTTGGCTACATTTTGGGAAATGGGTGTATACCCTGAATGCCCATGAGATGCTCTATAAACCCCAAAGGCATTCACCATTTACAGGAAAAATTCCTTCTGGATCACACCTAGGAGACTAAATTTTCTGTTAAAATGTTTTGACTGTCAGCATATGATCAGAACTAGAGAAGTTGAATCTGTTCTTATCATAGGGCAGAGCAGAAGGAGCCTGAATGCCAGCAAGTAGCCTGGAGTGGTAGAAGGAGCCCTCAGTAAGGTCACGAGACCTGGCAGTCCCAGCTTCCTTGGGGTCTTTGCCTGCATCATCAGAGGGCCAATCATAAAAAAATACAGTTCCTCTCCCAAACCAACACCTCATTCCCTCATCACTTTGCTCTAAACCACTTCTCTCTCACTACCATGCTTATATTGACTTGTTTGTTTATTGACTCTCCTCACCATATCAAAATAAAGGCTCTGTGGTAGGACTTTCATCTGTTTGGTTTCTTGTAGGATCCCCAGCACACAGAACAGGACCTGAACACAGGGTACCACATAAGTATATGGTGAGTGTATGGACCCGTAAAATAATGGATTGCAGCCTTGCCCTGCAGTTCTTAGGATGTGTGGCCAACGTCAAGTCACTTCACCTCCTGGGCCTCCATTTCTGGGTTGTTTGTGATTGAATTAGCTTCCATTAGGTGATCTACACAGACATCTGCACAATGAGGGACTGTGGTCTCCTGTATTCCAGCTACACTGACCCCTCAGGGTCCCACACACTCTCCTCTCTTCCCACCACCTGCTCCAACTCCATCTTTAATCCCCACTTTGCCTGGTTAATTTTTCCTAATCCTTTAAGATTTCATTCAAACATCCTGCTGTTAATAGTTTTATATATGCTTTATTTCTTCATATTACCTATCATAATGATAATTACTGGGTATATATTAAATGTTTGTCTCTCTCACTAGACTGTCCCTCTCTGATTCACTGCAGTTCAGCAAAGACCCTTATATTATAAATAGTAAGTGCCAATAAATATTTATTGAATGAATAAGTAAATAAAATAGTAAGTTGAATTGGATAGCCACCAAGGTCTTTTCCAGCTTTGGCATTCTCTGCTGCCATACTTTCACTGGTTGGTGTGAACCTTGAGGGATGTAATATAATAGTGCTTCCCAGTTTGAGTCTTCTAAGAACACCTATATTATTTACATAACAATGAGTTCAAATCAACACCTTTTTACTTGTCCTAAGTAAAAGGTAATTGTAAATAAATATACAATTCTTTAAATGTGTTCCTAAACTTAAAAAAATATTTTCTTAACTAAAACATGTTCATTTGGGTACCATGTAGAATCATCTTGCAAACACCAGGTAGAATGTGTCTCATACATCCGGAAACACTGCATTATAATGAGTTTCCACTGCCTCATTTGGGTCCAACTTAGAAATAGTTGGAAATTAAAACCTGATCATCTTAATCTACCCACAGATACCAGTTTAGAAAAAGTCAAACCAGTTTGGGTTTCAAACTGGTTTCAGAGCCGCTGTCATTATTTCCAGAGACCAAAGTACGAAAGCACACTCACCCAGTCAGTCATTCCATGGTGTGATGACTGTGGCTCTTGACAGAGGAGGCTGGGATGGCAGACAGCCCTTGGCTTTCCCCCATCAGCCCTCTGGGAGAGCACCTCTGCCCAGGTAGCATGGTAGATGCAGCTTCCCAGGGAGGGAGGCTATGGTGTGACTCTCTTCCTTGTTTGCGAGGCTTCTGGAGTGGTTAGATGTACACATAGTGGTAGGAACAAAAAGCGAAAGCTCAGGCAGGTTGAGCAGAAGAAGTAGCAGAAAGTAGAGGCAGAACTGTGCTGTGAATTACTACACATCATGAAGTTTATTCATAAGAGCAGGGTCCTTCACTAATGGCTGTGAGTTATTAATGAAAATGAAAACCAGTCAATTCTAATGATTTTTTTCTCTCTTTGTCTCAAACCAAAACAAAAAGTACCACCTTGGTGATTTTTAAAAAAAAGATTTTATTTATTTATTTTTAGAGAGAGGGGAAGTGAGGGAGAAAGGGAGAGAAACATGCCTGCAACCCAGGCATGTGCCCTGAATGGGAATCAAACCAGTGAGCTTTGGCTTTGTGGGATGACGCCCCATGAAATGAGCCACACCAGTCAGTGCCCTTGTTGGTGATTTTTATAAAAGTCAGAATAGTGGTTACTTTTGGGGAAAGGAAATGGCTTGGGAATGGAAGGGGACTCATGGAGGCTTCCAGGGTAGGCATTCAATGATTCCTGATCTGAATGATGGTCACAGTTCTGTTCATCTTATATTATTAAGCTATGCATTTATTTTGTGGGGGTTTGTTTTTCTTTTATATTTTACAATAAAAGTCTGAAAATATGGAGCAAAACAAACAAACACCTCCTCCCCCCCAATTAATTCTATAAACAGTTATTGAATGCTTACTATCTACAAGTCACATGGTCATGGTTGAGGTAGTAATAATAAATAAAACTCGTAGTTTCTCTCTAGCAATTTAGGACCTAGGAGAAGAGGTAGGAAGATAATCACACCATGAAATGCAAACAATAATGGGGATACATAGAAAGTGTGGTGTGTGTGGGTCAGGACACACTGCACTGAGAAGATAAAGTTTGAGGTAATTTAGTCTTTAAGACTCAACTCAGGTGTTGCCTCTTCCAGCATGCCTTCCTTGATCCCCTCCCCATAGCCCCCGCTCCCAGGCTGGGTCTGATGTCCCTTGCACAACATATTTTTAAATAGAATTTATCATGTGTTGTGATTTTCTGTTTGCTTGCCTAAATAAGACTGAGTTCTATGGTACATTTACATAATGGAATACTACACAGCTGAAAGAAAGAAGGAGCTCCTATCCTTTAAGACAGCATGGATGGAACTGGAGAGCATTATGCTAAGTGAAACAAGCCAGGTGGTGATAGACGTATACTGCATGATCTCACCTATAACAGGAACCTAGTCAACAAAACAAACAAGAAAGCAAAATATAACCAGAGACATTGAAATAAAGAGCAAACTGACAGTAACCAGAGGAGAGGGGAGGGGGAAAGCAGGGGAAAGAAGGGGAAGGGTCATCAAGGAACATGTATAAAGGAACCATGGACAAAGCTAAATGGGGCAAGGATTGAGGGTAGAAGGTAGGGGTGGGTGGGGCAGGGGAAAGTGGTGGTGGGAAAATGGAGACAACTATACTTGAAGAACAACAA